GATAAGGGCTATGGAGAAAATAAAGCAGAGGAAAGAGGGTAGGAGTGCCAGGGAGGGGGATGTTGGAATTTTAAATAGGGCGGTAGGTGACCAGGCAACTCGCAAACACATGGACGAAAAGGGAGAGGGTGAAAACAAAGGGTGTTGGGGGCAGGTATGGAGACAGCCCAGCAGTCAGTGCCAAGGCTCTGTGGTGAGAGCAGGCTTGGTATTTTCCAGTCACAGTGAGAAGGTGGTATGGCCGAGGCAGAGTGGACCAAGGGCACATAAGTGTGGCAGGTGTGGGGATAGAAGTGCGCTTGAAACACTGACAAGGATCTAGATCTCAATCCTTTAACTGGAGTAAAGGGGGCTGCCACTGGAGGGTTCTGGCCTAGGCTCACTCTGGCTACTGTGTGGGTAGTCTGTGGTGATGACAAGATGGTTAAAAAGTGGTCACTTGCATATTGATTGTGATAATCTAGGTGAGAGAGCTTAAAGCCGGTGTTGGGACATCTGTAGCCAGGTTTAGGGGCTATGGAATGTGCTGATGGTGAGAGAGAAGAGCTAAAGGTGACTCAATGTTTGGGGCTTGAGTAAATGAAGGCTGAAGTTATTAACAGAGAGGGAAGGAAGCTGATTTGAGAACAATGTGTGTGTTGCTCCAGGGCACAAAGTCTCATGTTGTTGTCAGGGGCCCTCAAGCCGGTTCTGACACATGAACAACCCAGGATGAAACACCCCCTGTCCTGCGCCATCCTCACAACTTCTTAAGGCTGAACCCATTGTTGCAGCCACGGTGTCAATCCATCTCCACGAGGACCTGTGGTTATTCAGGTAGAACCGCAAACCTTTGGGGTGAGGCATAACAATCACTTTTGAGAAGAGTTACTCGGGTTATGTAATAAGGGTGACATTGAGGTAGAGGGCTACATCTCATTTTATATTCATTAAACGATTGGCATAGAGAACATTTTACATATAAATTTGGTAAATCTTAGATTGCTTCCTGATCAGAAAGGAACAGTCAAGTGAAAAAAACAATGAGGATAAAGAGCTTTGAAAACAAAATTCAGGTGCAAGCCCCATATTTCTTCATTATAAATTAAGGCAGTAAAACTCTCATTGCTGCAAAATTGTTATTTTTCATAATGGCTACTTTTGTACTCATTATTGTGATTGAGTGTTGTATCCGATGCATGTTGGCTTCTAAGAAACAGAACTGCTGATGAAAAGAATGCGTACGCTTGTTTAGCTGCTTAATAAATAACTATTTGATGATGATTCTGCAGTATGTTTAAAGGGTAATTCTTCTTCTGTTGCTTTAGAGTCCTGTTGGCATTCTATAAATGGATGTAATTTCAAGGGGTGGCCAGAATGTATCAATTAGTCTGACATCTAGGTCTCTTAACAGATCTATAAATTTCCAATTTCCTTTGCCATCGTAACCATGGTAAATCATCCTGAACAAGATCGTTCTTTTGAACAACAGCCTCCTTATTAACTGAGATCAATCGAGATTAGAAAATGAAAAATATACTTGATGCTGAGAACTATGTATGAAAACACTTTTCTAGAATGAATATTGAATGAAGATTAATGTGTTATTTTCAGCTTCTAAACCATTGATTTTAAAATTTCTTTTCTATATCTCATTGCTGAATTTAACACTGATATATTTTGGACTGGTTTGCTTGTTTGCAAGTATCTCTTTCCCATTGAATTTATATGTATTAATGGGAGTGAATGACTTTTAATCTAAATGTGTCTTGCATTGCATACCAGTAATGAGTACAATGCTTCTGAAAGTGGTTTTAGCATCAAACTGTGTACTTTTGATGATTTTTCCCCAAGGGATTCCAAATTAATGACTGTATCCTTTATTTTAATTCCTGGGTTGATTTTTATTTGCTCTGGGGTTACAAGAAAAGATCCTTTGCATACCAAGCAGCTGGCATGTGACCTTGACTCTGTCTGCCTCTCAAGGTCGTCTCCTTCATTATGTTCCCCTCTGCGATCTCCAAGCATCAGCTCTCCTGACTGTTACTCCTTCAAACCAAACATTTCCACCTCAATAGTTTTGCACACATTGTTTAAAATTTTGAATCTCCAATACTCTCCACTTTACATTTTCCAGATACTATGTATAATACAGTACTTGCCTAATTAATTAATTAACTATCTGCCACTATGTAGAAAGCAGACACCACGGATGCATTTTTGTCTCTCTTTGCTCCCTGCTCAAATGCAGTATCTGGAACTATGTTGGTAATTGCTATGTACTTTAAAAAAAATATGAATGAATAAATGAGTGAATGATTCCCTATGTTGGAGTACTCTTTAGTTTTCTGTAAACTTAGGTTAACGCCTATCATCATTTAAATCCCAGGTGAAATGTCATTTTCTCAGGCCACCTTTTTTGACCTTTAGGACAAGATCCGATTTTCTATATTTTCATAATTCCCTTTTTCCTTTGTACTTACTAGAGATTTAATTTATAAAGTTCACTATTTCTGAAATAACTTGTTTAATTTCTGTTGCTCTTTGCGCCTAACTTGCAAGTGCTGATGGAATACAAAACCATCACTGCTGTATTTGCAGTCATTGCCTCAATAGCTAGCGCAGTGCCTGGAGCATGTAGATGTTCAATAACTACCCCTTGAACAAAGAGGAGACAAGTAACTCCTTGCTGGAACTTTCATCCCCCCTGTTTCATCTGTTCCCTGTTCTCCCAACAAAATTCAGTGAATCATAAATAAATGATTTAGCATTTTAGAGAAGTTACTAATAATATGTGCCCCTCCATGAATTCACCAATACTTACAGAATCCTTGTAGGCTTTCTGATAGTTAGGGCCTCAGGGCCTTCTCTGTACTGATCGATACAGTGCGAAGAGGATCAAAATAAATAATGAAAATATCATGGGCTTTAAAATGGAAAGATTTTTTTTGCCTTTCATTGCATGCTCAAACTTGTGATTATGTTGTTACCAGTTGAGCTTCAGGTTCTTCATAAGCCAAATAAAAATTGCAATGTCCACTTCTCAGGGTGTATGTAAAAACTACTGACAACTCATGTAAAGTGCTGCAACATAGTAGGAGCGCAAAGGATGGCAGCTGTGCCGACTATTAGTTGAAGATAAGGCAGACTGTGTTGCATTCCCACGGGTGCAGATAGAATGCATGCCATGCTCAACAATGGGCACCATGATGGAAGAAGGGTTGCATCTTGACTCTCAATGGACTTAAAATCTGGTTGAGAAAATAAGTTCTAAAACAGAGTCATGAAATATTTGGATAATAAAATAATATCATATTGATTACAATTTATAACACATGAAAGGTTCAAGCAAAAAACATGTTAAAGGCTCTGAGAGCTCTGGACAGCCATGGCAGTGAGAGTCCTGGCTATAATTTCTGAGAAAAGATACATTGACACGTTCAACTGCTAACTGCAAGGACAGTGATTCAAACCTGCCAACTTCTCTGTGGGAGAAAGATGAGCCTCTCTGCTCCTGTAAAGATGTACAGCTGCAGAAACCCTAGGTAGGGTTGGTGTGTGTTAGCGTCAACTCAGTGGCAGTGTAGTATCCTGGTACTGGAGTTGTCAAGGATCTCATGTCATTTGGACACAGAATCAATGTCCCCTGAAGCAGCAATCAAGAAATCAAACTCTGCACTCCATTGTGGCAGAGGGGTTGGGGTCGGGGTGGGGGGGAATCTGCTGCAACAGAGCTCTTAAAGTGTTTTAAAAGCAAGGTGCCTCGGATCCAAGCCAGGGGATTTCTTCATCACCACCGCCATGGGTAAAAACGGCACAATCAGGAATCAGGAAGCTTAAAGAAGAACTGATGCATTTGAATTATGAAATTGGAGGAGAATACTGAATACACCCTGGATGGCCAGCAAAATAAATGAACTTGTGTTGGAAGAAGTACAGCCAGAATGCTTTCCAGAAACAAGGGAGGGAGACTCATTGCACCTATCTAGGACATGTTATCAGGAAGGGCCAGTGCCTGGAGAAAGACAGCATGTTTGGAAGAGCAGCGGGTCAGCTAAGTAGAAGACCCTCGGTGAGATGGATGGACATGGATGGACCCAGAGACCGCAACGAAGGGCTCAAACAGCAACGAGTGTGAGAATAGCTAGGGACCGGCTGTGTTTTGTTCGTCCATGCATTGGTATGAACAGTTTCGATGGCACCTAACAGCCAAATGTCCATGTTGAATAAAGCGGGCCCATGCCTTGTTTCTGTGTTAGAAATTGGATTTTTGACCTTGGGTATTGCACCGAAAAAGCTTGCCACCCCTGATCACTGACCTGAGTGGAACCACTGAACGCATCCACAGGCCCTCCTCCAATGAGGAAAAGAGATGCTCTTCCACCGACTTCAAACCCACGCGGGGATGATTGGAATCCACTAGGGCACTGTGGCAAACATTAGACCACACACGCAGAGGGAGGGGAGCCTGTCAGCCCGCCTGGGTCTCCTAAAGTGAGCCACTGCCTTGCACTTGCCGGTTCCTGGCAGACGAATTTCCAGAAAAGGGATTCCTCTGTCTGTCTGTCTGTCTCTCTCTCTCTCTCACACACACACCACGTTCACAAAGGCACACACGCTTGTAAGAAAGCATGTGTGTAGCCAGATAAGGAAAGCTCACTCATTGTACACATTTTTGCCCCCCACCCTGCCTCCGCGCACAAAATCCCAGACCCATTGGCTCCCTTCTCGTTCGTGAGCCATTCACCAAGTCCTGGGCTGCCTCCTGGGTGCGGGGCCTCGTCCCTCGAGCGAACAGTGCAGCAACTTGGCCGCCCTCTTTCTAGCCTTTCCATCCCTTCCACCGCCCGCCCGCCCTCCGTTCCCAGGGGCGGGCTGGCGCCCGGGGCGGAGGTCCGACGCCGGGTCCTCCCCGCCCCGGGAGCCGCGCCGCGGGGCGGGGCCGAGCCGGCGGCCAGGAAATGCCCAGGAGAGTGTGTCACCTGCCCGACTACTTGTTGATTTCCCAGGAGCGCCGCCCGCCGAGCCTGGGCCCCCCGTCTGTCTGTCTGTCTGGCCGGCGCGGCCCCGGGGAGCACCTGAGACACCCCCGGGACCACTCTCCGGACAAGTTCACAGCCATGAGCAAGTTGGGCAAGTTCTTTAAAGGGGGCGGCTCTTCTAAGAGCCGAGCTACTGCCAGCCCCCAGGAGGCCCTGGCCCGACTTCGGGAGACCGAGGAGATGCTGGGCAAGAAGCAGGAGTACCTGGAAAACCGCATCCAGAGAGAGCTCACCCTGGCCAAGAGGCACGGCACGCAGAACAAGCGAGGTAGGCTCGGGGGCTGGCCCTCGGCGCGTGAGCTCTCACCCACCTACCTCCAGCCCTTTCCTTGGGGACAGCCTGCTCCTCAGCATCCAGACTTTCCTGGCAGCCAGGTAGGACCTGTTTCTGTTTGGTGCAGTGATTGGTTTTGGCCTGCTCACCTCCAGGCCAGCACTTGCCAACCACCAGCGTGCTCCGCTGGAGAAAGAAGCGGGTTAGAGTCTCAGAAACCCACCAGAGCAGTTCTACCCAGCCCTTTAGGGCCACTGTGAGTCGGAAGACTCCATGGCAGGGAGCCTTGGTTTGGCACTGACCGCCAGGTCTGGGACTAGGGCGAGCTGATCGAGGCTTTTGATTAAAGCCACCATGTTTAAGGGCAAGTTTGTCATTACTGACTTATTTTATTTTTGTCCCCAGCCTCTATATCTCTCCACCCGTCTTTTTTTTTTTTTTTTTAATGTGTTAGGTATTATGTTCATTGTGATATTTTCTCTTTAGTTTTCGGTTTTAAAAACACAAGATAAAATTATGGCTTCTCTTGGTTATCCTTGATTGAAAGGGTCTTGGGTACCCCTTTCAAAGTTTACGCCCGATTCCCATCACCCTCGTCCCAGCCTTGCTGACCCTAAATTAACACCAGTTTTTCAAACACTCTGCTGGCGGTTTGTATACTGAGTCACACCTTTTAACTTATGCGCAAAACTTCAGTGAGACCTAGTGTAGTCTGTTCAGTTTTGGGTTGCACTCAGTGGGTGAAAACGTTTGCTGGCCACTGTGCAGTTCAAGTGGATGGGTGGGTGGTGGCTGGCCTGGAGGAACGAAGCTTCCCATCAGCGGTCTTTGCATAATTGCACACTGGACTTTGAGTCAGTAGTCATCTTGGAGCTCCTGTCACACTTTGGACCCTCTGTACTTTGCCAAACTTTATTGGTTTCTTCAGTTTATGGCTCTCACTACTCAGAACAGACACGGCAGAAAGCAGATTTAAACAGCAGCTGCGGCAGACACAGGGGGACCTTGGTGATGTGGTGGGCTCCACAGGAGCTGCGAACAACCATGTCAGTGGTCAAACACACCAGCCACATTACGGGCGGAAGAGGAGGCTGTCTGCTCCCACCAAGATGGAAAGTTTGGGAAACCCGAAGGGGAAGTTCGCCTGTAGGGTCCCTCTGAGTTGGCAGCAACTGGACAGCAGTGCGTAGTGACAGGTTGGCTGGAGGGTCAGCAGTTGGCACTTGCCCACTGTTCTGAGGGACAAAGAGGAGGCTTAGAAAGATGATGCCTTCTACATTCATAAAGACTTATAGTCTCAGAAACTGCAAAGCCGCAGTCTTCTCTGTCCTGTAATGGGTGGATCACACGTCGCTAACCATGAGGTTAGCAGTTTGAAACCATTGGCCGCTCTGCAGGAGAATTCTGAGGCTGTCTACTCCCGTAAAGAGTTACAGCCTAGGAAACTCACAGGAGGCAGTTTTACTTTGTCCTACGGGGTCCCTATGAATGGGATTCGACTCGATGGCAGTGAGTGTGTGTGTTTTTTTGGATAGGGTCGCTATGGGCGGTGGCGGTGGATGTATGTGTGTGTGTGTTTTAAGTTGGGTGGCATATATAAAAACTCAGGGAGTAGTTGAAGTAGTTTACTATTGTGCTCTGTGTCAACTGGCAGGCACAGAAATACAAGTGGCAACACATGTCTGCACATCACCAATTCCTGGATATTTCCACTCTGACAGTGGAGTTTCGTGAGACGAAAGGAAGCCTTAGGAAGACAGTTTACCCTGCATGCTACTACCATTGTTTAACCCTGCAAAGGAAGAGTGGCTCATGGCATTGACTGAAAAGCCTTGCCGTTTTCCCATAAAAGTCTGCCTACTGCATGTGTGCCCACTTTTATCCACAGTCTAAAGGACACGTTTCATTTCTCGGTGCTGTTGCAGAAAACTCTTGTCCTATTGTGGAGCTCAACGTGAGTGCCTATGTTTAGTTTATGTTGGGACATATCGTGGGAAGGTAGGGAACGGCAATTTCTAAAGACACGCCACGCCATCATGGCTTGCTGATGGCCATTGGTCATTTTGTTACTTACCCCTTTGCTTCATTTGATAGGCACTCTGACATGTGCTTTAAAAAGTTTTTCCCCCTTCCCTTCTTTCTGTTACCTGTTTGTTGTCATAACTAGCTTTATCTACAGTGGTTGCTTGGTAAATATTGTTTGTTTTTTAAAAAAATCTGAAAATTTGCACATCTGCTTCAAGGAAGTAATAAAAACATAGATTTTCCTTTAGAAGATAAGAATGTAAAATGAGATGGGCTTTATGGACACTTTTCAGAAGTGTTCTCCAATTAGCAAGGTACTAAAGTGTATTCCATGCAGACTTCAAAAATAAAGACAAAATTGAAAAATAACTTAACCCAAACCTCTGTCAGCAAGTCGGTCCCAGCTCATCCCAGCTCATCGGGACCCACTCTAGGGTTTCCACGGCAGTACATCTTCACCAGCGCAGAAAGCCTCATCTTTCTCCCCCGGAGGAGCTGGTGAGCTCCACAGTGAGCCTGCAGGGCAGGGTAGAACTGTCCCTCCCTGGGAGTCTCCAAGACTATAGCTCTCTATCGGGGTAGAAAGTCCTGGCTAATGGTTTTGAACTGCTGACCTTGCAGTTAGCAGGCCAATACCTACCCACTGTGCTCCCAGGGCTCCAGTAGTGCCACCACACGTAGTAAAATAAAGCTCAAGTAAAACAACAACAACAACAACAACCGGTTGCCCTGTCGTTGATTCAGTGCTTTAGAGGGGAACTGTGCTCTGCGGGGCTTTGCAGTGGTTGTGTTTCTTAAAGCAGATCCCCGGGGCCCTTCTTCTCCCAGATGCCTCAGGTGGACCCCAGCCTCCCTCAGCAGGCAAGCATGTTGATGGTTTGCACCACCCGGCGGCCACTCCAAACCCAGCCTCAAAGGAACGCACACCCAACCGGTGCCATCAAATCAGTGCCAGCTCATGGCAGCCCCTGTGTGTGTCAGAGGGGGACAGCTCCAGGGGGGTTGCAATGGCTGATTGCTCAGAAGTAGATTTGCCAGGCCTTTGTCTCAGGTGCTTTTGCATGGACTTGAGCTGCCAACTTGTGGGGAGCAACTCTTCTTTAAATGGGTCCCGTGTTACACAATCCTACTGTTGTTAACACCTAGGTAATTTATGTTATAATCACAGGGACACAATGTGGGAGTATGTGCGGTTATTAATATTTTCCTTCAATGCTAGTTGCTCAGCTAAAATGTTGGCAAGGCTTCACGGCCTTTGAGTGGCCAGCTAGCAGTATTCCAGAAGGGCCACTCCCTTAACCTCTGCACGCTCTTTAGCTATCTAAAGCTGCACAAAAACCAAAACTCAGACAACTAGTAGACTGAATTCAACCTGGGTTTTAATTAGCCTAATACATGTTACAAATGAGAATGTGTGTGTGCGTGTGAGTGTGTGAAGTTAAGAACATGATGCTTGGTGCAGTAGAAGTGCAGTGAAAAAGAGAAAGCCCATTTGTAGGCCACTGGACATCCCCTTACAGAAGGGTCTCGGGGAGGAAACGAGCCAGTCAGGGTGCGATGTAGCAATGATGAAAGATACAACTTTCCTCTAGTTCCTAAATGCTTCCTCTTCCCCTACTATCAATGACCCGAATTCTATCTTGCAAATCTGGCTAGACCAGAGAATAAACACTGGTACAGATAGGAACTGGAAACACAGGGAATCCAGGATGGATGATCCCTCCAGTGGTGTGAGTGGCGATACTGGGAGGGTGGAGGGAGAGTGGGTTGGAAAGGGGGAACCGATTACAAGGATCTACATGTGACCTCCTCCCTGGGGGACAGACAACAGAAAAGTGGGTGAAGGGAGATGTTGGGCAGGGCAAGATATGACAGAATAATAATTTATAAATTATTAAGGATTCATGAGGAAGGGGTGAGCGGGGAGGGAGGGGAAAAGTGAGGAGCTGATGCCAGGGGTTTAAGTGGAGAGCAAATGTTTTGAGAATGATGAGGGCAATGAATGTACAAATGTGCTTTACACAATTGATGTATGTATGGATTGTGATAAGAATTGAATGAGCCCCTAATAAAATAATTAAAAAAAGAAAAAGAGGAAGACCCTCCATGAGATGGACTGAAATAGTGATTGCAACAATGGGCTATAAGAGCCATTGTGAGGATGGCACAGCACCATGCAGTGTTTCATTCTGTTTTACGTAGTGTCGCTGTGAGTCGTGACTGACTCCAGGGCACCAACAAAAGCAACATGGCATTGTAAAAATGTGTACACTGTGAGTCAGGGTTGACTTGGTGGCAGGGAGAAAAATGTGGACCAGCTAAAGTAGTGTAGGGACAGTCACTTCTTACCTATGCATTGTTCACAAGAATCTTCCAGGTATATAATTAAGTTACCACCAGGATGTTACTTGAGGCGGGAGTTCATGCATCCAGCATCAAGTCTGTAGGTCAGGGGCATTTCTGATCGGGAGTATTTCCCTGAGGGCATAAAACGCAGTCTTGGAATGGCTCTGTCTGCCTTCAGGGCACCAGGTATATGTAAGGAGGCCCCTGGAAGCATGTGGGCTGAGGCTTCACTGAACTCCCCCAGCAGGCTAAACGTATCTTTGGCTTGCTTGAAAACATTGTTTGCATCATAAGTGTGTCAGTATATTCAGGGTTTCATCTGAAACTTGCTTTCATTTTAACTCGGTAGCAAAATTGTGCAGGGGTAGCTAACTCGCCTCACCTCAAAGCTTATTGCAATTTCTGTAATGTAAATCTTGCTTAAAACTATATAGAATCTGCTGTGTGGAAAAGCAAACTTCTTCTACATCACTTAAGTCTTTTTTCTACTTCCGATTTCCGTCATCTGGAACAGTTCTCAAGCTTGGCTGAATAATGAAGGTCATTTAAAACCTTTTAGATCACCACCATGTTTTTAAAGTATTTTTGGTGGCATAGTGGTTATGTGTCGGGCTGCTAATTAC